CACGAACCGACGCTAAAAGTGCCACCATGTGGCATGAGCTCGTGACACGAACCGGTACTAAAGGTGATCGTGGAGCCCCGGCCTGACGCCAGCCTGCCATCACCCCTTTAGTACAGGTTCGTGGCACGAACCGGTACTAAAGGTTCAACACGAACCGGCATTAATGCATAGCCGTTCGAATCAGCACTAATGGTACCATTAGTATCGGGCTAAAATCAAACCGGCACTAATGTGTCTCACATTAGGTCCTTTTTCTACTAGTGGCTGGTGGGGATGAGGAAATTGGCGTGGCACCTAGAATTTTTTCCTCTATTAGATTGAGTTAGAGTATACTAGAAGAAGAAAAACAGAAAAACCCAGGAGAAGGTGGGGCTCATTAAGAGAAAAATCAGTGGTGGGAAGTGAGACAAAGAATAAACCGTGGACTATCAACTCCCCCTTTAATAGTTGAGATCTTGTACACAAATATTCATTATTCAACACAATTCCAACATATTGGTCTTCATTTTATTACCCCAGTTATTAAGAACTTTATTTCGAATCATCGTGAGATATATTCGCGGCAGGCTTGAGAAGGATAGATTGGTCATGGATGGACGCCATCGACGAGCTAGCGTGGGCAGCGGAGCACCATGGTCTCGATGGTGATTCCAGGACCGAAGGCCATCATGGCGCCCCACTCCGGCAGCAGGCTCCGGCGCTGGCGCAGCTCGTCGAGCACGAAGACGATGGTCGCGCCGCTCATGTTGCCGTACTCACGGAGCACGTGCCGGCTGGCCGCCAGTTTCTCCGGCTCCAGCTTGAGCACCTTGTCTATGTTGTCCAGGATCTGGCGGCCACCTGGGTGCACCGCCCAGAAGAAGTCGTTCCACTTATTTCCGTTCCCGGATAATGGAGACGGAAGATGAGCATCGTCGTCGTCGTCGTCGTGTCCTCCGCGGAACGCGTTGAGGAGGCAGCGCTCCACGTTCTGTCCGATGAGCGTGGGCACCTGGATGGAGAGGTGGAAGTCGATGCCACCGCCGGTGACCTGCATGCCTAGCGCGTGCTCCGTCTTGGGCACCGTGGTCTGCATGGCGTGGACCATCTCGAAGATGGGGCGCTGCTCGCCGTCGAGGAACGGGCCGGCCCCGACGATGACCGCGCCGGCGCCGTCCCCGAAGATGGCGTGGCCGACGAGGTTGCCGCCGTCGGGCGCGCCGAAGCAGACGAGCGTGGTCTCGGAGCAGGCCACGAGGACGCGCGCCCCGCGGTTGTTCTCGGCGAGCTCCTTGGCGAGGCCCAGCGCCCGGCCGCCGCCGTAGCAGCCGTGGAGGCTGAGAATGGTGCGGCTGACGGTGGGCCTGAGGCCGAGCAGCGTGGCCAGGCGGAGGTCGGCGCTCGGGGCGCCGCAGGCGGAGTAGGTGGTGAAGACGAGGTGGGTGATGTCGGCGGGCGGACGGCCCCACTCGGCGATGGCCTTGGCCGCGGCACGCTGCGCGAGCTTGGGCACGGCGTCGACGGTCATGTCCACCCGCGTACCCAGCGACGGCAGCTCCGGGTCGAGCAGCTCCGGATGAGCCGCCAGCGTCTCCTCCGTGAGGTGGAAGTGCCGCTTGTCGATGCCCGTGTTGCCGCCTGGAACCAGGAACATCATTTAGTACTGGACTAGGAAGAAAACTAGTACTCCAGTATATATGCATGGGACTGTAATCAATCAATCAATCAATTTAGGAGAGGAAAAACCGTTGTACAAATTCTGGTTAGCTTGTGTTTGAGCTCAGTGAGGTGGTCGCTGTTGGTGATGCGGAAGAGGGTGTCGGCGAAGACGTCCTGGGGCATTAGCACGCCGGTGGGGTTCGCCGTGCCGATGCCGAGCATAGCCGCTGGGCCTTCAGCGTGCGGCCGCGGCACCACCACCACAGCTGTACCGTGCCCGTTGCTTCCGCAGCTTCCCATGGCCGGCCGAGTATGTATTTGCTGGGCAGACGACGCGCTTGTCGATCTTGCGTCTAAGAGGCCTGTGAATCTTGGTGCATGGGCTCAGGTTTTATAGTTAGTTTGGATGGCTGGCAAGCCTAGCAATTCCAAGAGACAAGGAATGAGAGTAATTTCAGGGCAATATTATTGCTAGCTATAGTAGCAAAGTAGCCCTCGCAAATTTGCGCTTTAGTATATTTAACAAAGTTGTGTTAACTAACAAAGGTAATATTGACCATTTTCGCTTGTTGTTCGTCAGTTTTTACGGTCCGACATGTCTTTGGTGATTTTCTTGATAACAGAAATTTCTCTGGCATGTTTTGGGGGAAACTAGATGCAGATAATCTTGCCTAATTCATCATCAGAGGGTTGCTCTAACCCGTGGGTTTGTCGGATGTGGCCGCACAATTGTGTTCTTGCTGTGCTTCCGGTTGACTTCAAATGGTTGTTCCATATGCATGGACAAAATATGAATGATTGGAATCGATTTGAGCTATTCTTTTTTCATTTGATCATGCACTTCCTCCATAAATAGTGATCTAAACGCTCTTATAATTCTTTACGTAGAGAGTACTATATATTTGCATGGACTTCTTTAGAATATTAGTCAGCATATGAAGTTATCAATTTGGCCGCTCACACTTTGGACTAAACATTTTATGGAAATTATTTGTACTATAAGTAATCATAACATTGTCTACATATTTTATCTTTTAAATGGATATATATATATATATATATATATATATATATATATATATATATATATATATATAATTAGTTAAGAGACACCAAACATATTAAATTTTATTTTGAAACAAACAAAGAACCTTAAAAAGCTAATTATCAAATGATTTGTATTTATTAGTTCATATTCATATAGTCCCAGGAGTATTGAGGATAGTTATCTTCCAGTCATCAGGGATAGAAATCACAAAATATATGGTTAGACCCATTCAAAAGTCTTTGACGTACTTATGACTCTCAAACACAACATCCTTTAATTTGCTTGTGAAACACTAACTCTCGTACAAAATATATGTAGGTCTTTTAGGGCATTGATATGGTTCCTAGTGACTACTTTGACCATCAAATTTCTGTGCAAAATATGTTTGCCTCACATAAAAATAACTATATATTACAAATATATATTTCATGAATATGTAGTAATATCAATCTACTGTGTTGGTTCCTAATAATTATTTTTGATAGTTGGACGAACTTACGAATGTTTGACATGTAAAAAAGTTAGACATGACCTACATTTTGGATCGGAGTTAGTATAAAGGACTCCACCTTCATACGTTGGAACATGCATTTTGCTTCAAGTTGATACATTCCTATGGTATTTTTAGTACATTATATGTGGTGGCAATTGCAATTACCTAAAGCTTCATAAGTCTACTACTTACAGTACTAGTGGTCAGACATGATCACTTGTCTTTATAAAACACCATACTACCTCAGAGGGAATATGACCTCAAGTGTCATATTTCACAAACAATAGAATTTATTAGCATGGAAGGATATGTACTCTGCACAAAATAGGACGATGTTATGAAGAAGTAACAATGATGTGGCATAGATTAACATTAGATTGTTGGAAGGACAAATAAGAAATATACGTATTAGCAGACCTGGAAGCTCAAAGAAACTGTTTCAATGCTAAAAAATTCTGAAAAATTATCCACAATGTCATAATGATTTATATTTCATGTGTGCAAATTATCACGATGTCATACATTGACACACGATCTTTAGCAAAAAAGGACAAATTGGTGATTTCGAACATAGTGAACAATATGTGTATTGTCCACTACACAAAACCAACGGTTTTCAATTTTTTTGTGTAGCCTGCAAATAAATGCATTTTCTCATGAAATTTTACGTACACATAGAATACATTCATGTAAATGTGGAACTTTTTCAGAATATTTTGAAACTTATAAATGTGATTATTTGAATGTTAAAAAAAGGCCTGCATGTAGGCCGAGCACCAAAACACTGCACTCATATGATACTAGTCTACATTACTACTCCCTCTGTTCCCATGAATAAGGCATGCAGGCAACCAACATTAAACTTTGACCATAAATTAGATGAATTAATTGTGGCGTATATGTGGTAAAAATTATACCGCTGGATTCATTTTCAAAAGATGTTTTCAATGGTATAATTTTTAGGTCATAAAAGTTTATATTGTTGGTCTAGTTTATGGTCAAAGTTGGATTTTGTAATGCGTGAATGCCTTATTCATTGGAATGGAGGGAGTACTTCACAATGCACGGTATCATAAAAGTGAGGATCTTATTTGATTGTTTGTGGAATCCCAACAAATAGGTGGACAAGATATATTTGACAGTAACTTGTCTCGTTTCATGTGCTATGATATGCTAGCATATTTTGATACTGCAAGAGTCTTTGTCTTCATTCACTGACATGCCATGTCAGCCTTATGCCTAGTTGACACTGCATAAGAGCTACTCCCTCTGGCTTTTCAGGTCTTGTATTTGACTAATTAAACATGTACGTATAATATTCCACAAAAATTATATTGTTTAGAAACTACGTTCGACAACGAATCTGAAGATAATTTTTAGAATATCATGTTTTCCTTGTTAAATTGAAGACCTAAAAGCGAGCCCGACTTATAAACCCAACAAGAGGGAGTATGATACTCCCACTATGAGAGCCAAATTAAATGTGTTGTGGAGGTGGTATGCAGGTAGCTGGGTGCAGAACTACCGTGGGGATAGTGCCTGGCCATGAATTCCAGTTATCCATCATGGGATAAGGTGCGTAGATGATCACATTAGGACTGAGACCCACATGTGAAGGAATAGATCCGAAAAATGGACACAATCGTTGTTTTGGCGTTTTGGTCAAAATTTATCATGATTTGACCCTCTTTGAAAGTTTGCACAAATCTAACCCTTTTTGGTACCGCTAATCAAGCCGCAGGTAGGGTCTCATCACATACTGCCGGGACCTCAGGCGGTAGGGTTTGGTCAACGTTCAGATGGGGTCTGCTCGTGGCAAAGGTCTACCACTGTAGATGGTGGCGGTAGCCTTTTGTACCCTACCACCAGGGATAGGCGTGGTAGATGCTTGGGTGGCTTATTATGATGTCAATGGTTGTACGAAGGCTACCACCCCTATCCCTGATAGTAGGATACAAAAGGCTACCACCAACAGCTATAGCGGTAGCCCTCTACCACGAACACACGTCGTTTGGACGTTGACCAATGGCTACTACCATTGACTATGGCGGTAGTCCGTCTACCATACAACTTGGTTGTCTGGCGGTAGCTAAAAGGTCCACATTCTGCTAGACTTTCAAACAAGGATCAAATCACGCTAAAATTTTATCAAAAGGTCAAAACAGTGAATGTGAATAATAATTGTGTCATGGGGATTGCAGTTCTACTAATGATGTGTGGGAGACAGTGTTGGGGATCGTAGCAGAAATTTAAAATTTTCTACGCATCATCAAGATCAATCTATGGAGTAATCTAGCAACGAGGGGAAGGAGAGTGCATCTACATACCCTTGTAGGTCGCTAAGCGAAAGCGTTCAAGTGAACGGGGTTGATGGAGTCGTACTCGTCGTGATCCAAATCACCGATGATCGTAGCGCCGAACGGACGACACCTCTGCGTTCAACACACGTACGGTTGGGAGACGTCTCCTCCTTCTTGATCCAGCAAGGTGAGAGGAGAAGTTGAGGGAAAAACCCGACAACACGACGGCGTGGTGGTGATGGAGCTCGTGGTTCTCCGGCAGCTTCGCCAAGCACTACGGAGGAGGATGAGGTGTTGGAGGAGGAAGAGGGCTGCGCCAGGGGAAGGGTGCGGCTGCCCTCTCTCTCCCTCACTATATATAGGGGGAAGGGAGGAGGGGGAGGCGCCCTAGGGTTCCCTAGGGGAGGGGCGGCGGCCACAGGGGAAACCCTAGATGGGTTTGGGCGCTCCCACCCCCTAGGAAACTTGCCCCAAGCCGGGAGGGGCGGCTGCCCTAGGGGTGGCGCCCCCACCTCTCCTGGTTACGTGAGATGGGGTGGGAGGGGCGCTCAGCCCCTTAGTGGGCTGATGTGCCCTATCTCCTTGGCCCATAAGGCCCCCCAACGCTTGCCGGGGCCTCCGAAACCCCTTTCAGACACGCTGGTCATCACCTGGTACCCCTGGAACAATTCCGGACTCCAATACCCTTCGTTCAATATACCGATCTTCACCTCCGGACCAGTCCGGAGCTCCTTGTCATGTCTGGGATCTCATCCGGGACTCCGAACAACCTTCGGTAACCACATACTATTTCCCATAACAACTCTAGCGTCACCGGACCTTAAGTGTGTAGACCCTATGGGTTCGGGAACCATGCAGACATGACCGAGACAACTCTCCGGCCAATAACCAACAGCGGGATCTGGATACCCATGTTGGCTCCCACATGTTCCACGATGATCTCATCGGATGAACAACGATGTCGAGGATTCAATCAATCCCATATACAATTCCCGTTGTCCAGCGGTATTGTACTTGCCCGAGATTCGATCGTCGGTATCCGATACCTTGTTCAATCTCGTTAACGGCAAGTCTCTTTACTCGTTCCATAACACATCATCCCGTGATCAACTCCTTGGTAACATTGTGCACATTATGATGATGTCCTACCGAGTGGGCCCAGAGATACCTCTCCGTTTACACGGAGTGACAAATCCCAGTCTCGATTCGTGCCAACCCAACAGACACTTTCGGAGATACCTGTAGTGTACCTTTATAGCCACCCAGTTACGTTGTGATGTTTGGGACACCCAAAGCACTCCTACGGTATCCGGGAGTTGCACAATCTCATGGTCTAAGGAAATGATACTTGACATTAGAAAAGCTTTAGCAAACGAACTACACGATCTTGTGCTAGGCTTAGGATTGGGTCTTGTCCATCACATCATTCTCCTAATTATGTGATCCCGTTATCAACGAC